GAGAGAAAGAGAGAGAGAGAGAGAGAGAGAAAGAAAGAGTCTGCGAAAGATAAAAGCAAAACAAAAAAAAGAGATAAAGCTCTGAGACGAATAGAAGACAAAGTATGTTTTCTCACCTCAGTAGTAGTGGGAACTTGTATATCAGGAAGATGTCTCACTGTGAGCAAAGTTCAGACCGAAGCTGTCTTTTCGGGCTGTCTCCTGCTATCTCAGGATGTCTCAGGATGTCTCAGGATGTCTCGGAGACCACGAGGGATCTGAGGATGAATGCTTGAGGAAGAGAACGTGAGCCGTTTTATGCTCACGCCGCTACCGGATCTGAGCTCAGACAGACCTTGAAGAGCTGTAGGACAATTCCTGAGGAAATCCTAGGTCGCTGTAGTTACATCACTGAGACAGCTTGGGAGGCAGCGTGGTGAAATCAGGCGCTCGTTAAAATAAACTAAACCGGAGAAACAGGCAGGTATTTTCCGTTACTTTGAAAATTCTGATCAAATTTTTTTTAAATGTTTGGCTTAACCTCTTTTGTGTCCATATAAAACCACATTTCCGTGTGGATTTTACTTTAAAACATTGATTAAAGGAACAAAATATTTCAGTTTTCAGTTTTCAAAGACTCTTTAGTTATTGGAGTTACCAAGCTTTGGTGGCCATTTTCTCGTTAATTTCACCAATGAAACCAGGCCACCTCATTTCCTTCAACAAAGGTAGACATCTTGAGTCCTACACAAAAAGATTAGAGATATTTATTTCATTGGAAGCATGTCAAATAAATCAGCTTCCAGATGACACCAATAACTCCACATGCCCTAAATTTCACGAGCGCCTGATTTTACCGCGTCATAACACATATCCTAGTGCTTGGATATCTCTTGAGGATGGGCTATATTAAAACAAAAACAAACAAAAAAACCCACCCCAAAACAATAAACATAAACAAAACAAGATACAATAAAAAGAAAACGACCTAACTTCCTTATTCATACACATCTCTCTTCTCCTCCAACTGCTTTTTTAACACCAAAATGTCCAACTCCGAG